TTATTGTAGAATGAGTATAAGGATCCAGGAGGGTGGGAGAGGCTGGAAGCAGAGGGATGTGGATGTGCAGGGGGAAGAGGGGATTAATCATTGGGTTGTACAATTTGATGGGTGGGCTGGTGAGGGAAATGGAAAGAATTTGTTTGAATTTGTATTAGAATTTTATAAATAGACTAGTGAAAAAAAATGATGGAAAAAGTGTGGCCAGGGTGCTCCTAAGAGGTGGGGTGTGAGACACTATCTCTCGTACTCTGAGCATGGTTTCAGGAGGGACCTGTTCTTAGAGAAGGACATCATTCTTCGAAAAGGAGAGAGTGTCCTTCAAAGAGATAGCAGGCACAGTGATTACAACAAAAGTTTGAGTGAAGTGGAAATTGTGAGGAGGGCATGCAGGATTGGGCAGGATCTTACCCGTCACAGGACCACTGTGAATCAGATCAGACTCGCTAGCACCTAGCAACAACAACAACAGTGAAGAAGTTGTATGGAAATATTTCAGTAGTGAAACTGGAAGCAAGAAATCCAGCAATACTTCAAACAGGAGTTGTTGAAGGCCTGGATTAGATTTATGGACATGAATTGAAAGAACTGATAGTTTGGTTTTGTTTTTTTTTTTAAAAGAATGAACAGGTTTTGAAAATGTATTGAATCTGGGAAACAAAAAGGTAGGGACTAAGGTGCTTCACGGTGGCGTCACTGAGAGAAAAGGGGCAAGCTTTTGGAGAAGCAGTTTGAATGAGGAATAATCTCAGAAGGTGTTTAGATGTAGGTGACATAAGTTCTTCAAAGTAGTAGAGGCTAGAAGTTCTGCAGAGTGGTCAGTCATAGAAGCCGAGGTGATGAGTGGAGGGGTGCAGCTCAGATGGGGTGGGGTGGGAGTGGAAGGACCATTTCACAGAAGGAAAACAGCCTGTGATTCAGACTGTAAAAGTGAAAAGTAGGAGAACATGAAAAGAGCTTTGAATTTGGCCTGCTACAGTCAACGGTCTTGGATAAGGAGCCACGACTGCAGAGGGCCAGGAGAAGGCAGGTGATGAGGACATGAAAGTCAGTGGACGTCGTGCACGTATTTAAGCAGCTTACAAGTGAAAGGAATGAGATAATGGGTTCATAGTTAGTGGAAATAATAAATGAAAGTTATCCAAGTTGGAAGAAATCTGACCCCAGTAAAAGTGCAGAAAGCAGGAGCTGGGAATAAGGAAGAGATTGAAGGTGCTAGAAAGATTTCCTAATAACTGATTCTGTGGAGGCCCTTGTGAATGAGAGCTGCGTTGCTATTTCTCAGTTGTTGGAACCCCTTGTGTGGAAAGTGTTATCTGGCCCTAACAGAGATACTCAGCTCTTTGATTCCTGAAATCCCCTTCTCTTCCAGAGGAAGGTAGGCAGAACATTCCAGGCCGGGTGGAGCTTTCAGACAGACCCACTTTGTTAGCAGGTGTGTAAAGAAACAGGATCTGTAGATGTTCATTGAAATGAAAAATAAACAAACTAAATTAATTAAGAAACAGGGCCAAATTCCTTGATCACAAAGGCAGATGGTTTTAGACTTAGAATTATGCTTACTTTGAATACCCATGGAGAAATTTCTACCCTCTTCACTCTGTAAAGAAGACATCATCTAAAGGAACAGCAACTGTGAGGCAGCAAGTTCTTGTTGATATATAATATTTATTATAAATATAGAGCAAATCAATTTTAAAAATAATTCAGAGATAGCCCAGTATGTTATACATCATGACCCCAGGGCTCCTTTGAAGTGGCCTTAGCCAGGCAAAATTAAATAACAGCTTAAAGAGGGTAAGGGAACATTTACAGTATATAAGAGGGTTTGAAAACTCTAACAGAGGTACCTGAGTATAAAGCATTCCTAACTAACCCTCTTTGAGGAAATTTCTTAGGCACAGTGTGAAATCAAGTATTAACAGAGAATAAAATCTTTCTTTTAACAGCATCAAAAACATTCCATAGAAGCCTGGGTAGGAAGGATATTATTCTTTCCTCTCTTCCTTTTTATTTTAAGGCTCACTGGGACTCACAGATTAACGTGGAAAAAAAACGACAATCTTCAGTGACTGATCAAGAAGCATAGAGTTCTGTCTTCAAATCTTTGCCTCATGCCCTAGTATCTTCTCAGAGCCCTTATCACCCAAGGGGCATCAGTGCAGTTTCTTAGAGCTAACAGCATGAATAACACGGTCAATTTTTGGAGAGTTCTACTTCTAAAAAACCAAACTCACTTTGGCAGAGGTCAAGTTTCCTGAGCAAGAACAAGGGGGTGGGACAGAGATTCAGTGGAAGTGGTGCACCGGCAGGAACCTGGAACAAAAACCAGTAGCTGAAGATTGGTCCTGAGATGTTTAGAAATCGAGTTAGAGCCATTTATGACCGTGAATAGGGATAGGCTCTTCTTGCTATTCACTCTTTGGAGTCCCTGCTAGAAAAAACCCTCGAGGCACTCCTGAGGGAATTCTGTGGCTTCTTTCACAAATAGTAGTTAGGCTGGCTACATAAGGTACATAAAAATAATGTCTTTTATAGGAATAAGAGGCAGTTACAATAATTAAGATGGAAAAATGTCACAGAGAAAAATAACCCAGTATTCCCCAAATTTGCTTTTAAAATAATAATAATGTAATAATTCTCTGAAGGTAGTTCTCTAATTCCTTTGCTAAGTCCCCAGCCGATGGTCTCTACTAAACCAACTCCCTCCTAAATCTGTGACTCTTCTCAGTATTTCTCTATTTCCTTGCATCAAATCCCTAAAAATATTAGAGAGTACATGTTCTTTTGGATTTCCCGTTAGGAATTACTTGTAGATCTTGGCAAATAGCTTTTCCTGTTGCTTCAGTGGGTTCTCTTGAGACTGACTTGTCCAAGGTTTGGGTGGTATCCTTACTAAACAGTCAAGTGCTTCGGCCTTGGTCCTGTAGACAAGCCTGAGAGTGGACACAGGTGTAGAGTCTCCAAGTTCAATACTGGTTACAGACGTGATTTCCACAGTGGGCTTTGGAGATCAGGAGAAGCTATTGCTACTTCTACTTTCCCCCTTCTTTTTCTGGCACATAACCAACCTGTAAGGTTATGGCAAATTTAAGTTAGACTCTGATGGGACAAGGTTGATGGGTGGGAAGGTTAGTGTCCTCTGAAGTGTTTGGGTTTTTTTAAAAGTCTGGGTCAGGAAAGGAGGCAGAACGGGGAGTTTCCCATCCCAACTGATGGGGAGTTTCCCATCCCAATTCTCTTCCAACTCTGCCTTTGCCAGGTTTCAGTGACATCTATTGCCATTGAAGGAAGCAGCCCTTCCAGTAGCCTGAAGGAAATGCAGCATTAACAAATGAAGCCTGGGGTGGATGCTTCTTTCCTTCTCTCCCAATGACACAGGGATCATTCCCTAGCGAAGTGAATCAAAGGGACTTGGAAGACAGGGAGCAAGACAGGTGGTGTTACTTCTTTTTTACTTCTGAATAGACGGTTTCTGTGGTTGTTGGGGATTCGGAGGGTGAAGTCGGTTTCTTTAGTTGCTGGGCATTGAAGTTCAGGGTTGAATATGCAACTTCATTGACCTGAAAAGCATGAATAGTAATCAATTAAATAAACGTCAAGGGTCAAGCCACCTGGCCTAGTGTGAGTCAGCACCACTTACTATAACATCACTTTGGAACTGTTAGCTTTGCAGAAGAGCTTTTGTTACTCATTTGTTGCTTGCTAAAGCCCTGTGGAATGGTTGTTAGAAAAGATATGTTACAATATTCATACAATGGAAGACAGTAATACATCAGCGAGAATGAATGAGCTCCCAACAATGAATGGACCTCACAAAACATAATGTTGAAGGAAAAAAAAAAGGAAGCCAGGCAAACTACACTGTCCTTCCTATCCTTTTTTTTTTAAAAGTTTTTTTTTTTTCATTTTTTTCTTTTAATTTCAATGAACATCTACAGAGATTTTGGAATTCCATTCATTCTGTCCTTCCTATCTTATCACGTTTATAGCAAAACTAATCTAGACCATCGGAAGTCAGAATAATTCTCTTGTGTGAGAATTTATTTGTTTATTTTTTTTGGTGGATGTAGATGTTGCTTGCATAGATGTGATTTTGTGAAAGGTTAATATACCCTGGAATAAAAAATAAAAAAAATAAAAAAAATTTTTAGAAAAAAAGAACAATTCTGGAAACTTATAAGGAAAGTAAGACCATAGTATCCCATTTATGATGAAAATGATCCTGTTGACAGTAAGAATAGGATAAGATAGAAGATAGGGTTGGGGGGGATCTTCAGGGTCTTACATGTGTTCGACATATACTGTTTCTGTTTTTTTTTAAGATAGGCAGAAAATTCACTTTACAAAGTAAAGGTAACAAAGCTGAGGGTTAAAGAAGTTTCTTGCTCAAAGTTACCGAGCTGCTAAGAGTCACAGCCAGCAGTCAAATACAGGGTAGTGATAATTCCAAAACTCAGCTTCTTGCTATGAAGTAGACTCAGTGGCTAATTAGTCAATACTTCATTGTCGCCACATAGTACTTTGACTCCCATTTCATCTCACATTTATGTCTTCAAGATTAATTTATTCTAGAGCTTTAGCTATGGAAGAATTGAGCTTATGCTCGTGTGGTGAAACGATTTGATAAAGGGTAGGGGGAATGGTTGTATATATCGCTAAGAATATAATCACTATTAATGAATTATACAAATTGTTGTGTTGGTATACGTTTTGTTGTGTCTATTTCTACCACACACATAAAGGAGAACTCATTTTACACAGATTTATTTCCAAGAGAAAATAATTCAGTGAGATTAGCTCTGCTTACCGCATTAGGCGTGGAGTGATCCTGACCTGGGGAGGCAAAAGAAGAGTTTCAAATCCATGAAAATGCAAAGCTGCCCTCCAGCCTGAGAACAGCAGAGTTCCTAGGCTGTTGTGACTTCCAGCTGAGGAGGGAGAGGGTGGTGGCAGTGGGAGGAGAGGTGGCCCAGGACTGTTAAGGAGTTCCGCTTCCCTCAGAGTTTGTCAGCAATATTAGTACCAGAGAAGGGGCAGGAGTAGAGCCACAGAGGCCTCAGACCGCTGGTGAAGATTTCTACCCGTTCACAGGCCTTGATTTTTGCCCAAATGCATTGAGGAGGGGCGATGAGACTCAGAGCACCCAGCACGCTGAAAACACAGGGTATAGTCTCACCAAGGGAGAAGGCCCACGTCCACAACAGAGGCAGGAGGGGAGGAGCAAGGTGAGGAATGGCTCCTAGGAACACGTCCATCTTTCCCGGGCCTGTTAGTTCTAGGCAAAGCGAGTGTTGCTCTGGGGCCGTGTCTCAGGGGAACCTTTTGAGGCACAGTGAAGGGTTTGAAGACCTATGCCAACTGAAGATGTGGAAACAGAGATCCTATAGTGAAAATTCATGAGGTGTGGAGTGGTTGGGAATCCAGGATTCCCTGCCAGGGCTGGGCAAGTGATGGAACACACCAGCTCTCACTGGATGGGCGAATTTACTTACTGTGCGTGGATGCTGAGAGTTTGTGGTCTGTAAGATCGCTCTGGTCGCTTGTCCTAAATAAACATCAGACACTGTGACTTCTAACCCAAGCATAGGAACATTACTCCCAGAATTAGGAAGGACGCTTTCAATAGCTAACTCTTCAGTGTTCATTTATGCCCGGATTGGTACTGTCTTTCCTTTTAAAGGCCATGTATCTTCCCCACCCCGTATTTCTGGATATCTTTTCTTTTCTTTTACTGTAAAGGCCATATGTCTTCAAACTAACCGCTATCCCTTCTCGTAGTTACTCTTCCATTTGCTAAATGTGCACATTTGTTCTTGTTAGAACAAAGTGAACTTTCAAATCCTGGATACTCCATGTGACAGTAGAACCGCCCCCGTGGAGTTCTCTCAGCTGTAATCTGTAAGTGAGCCGACCTCCAGGGCCTCCACTGCTGGAGTCCTGGAGTAGGGTTTCAGTTAGCATCCTCGTGCCTGATCTTCGAGGCACTGGGCCCCTCAGATGTGCACATTTAGATCCATTCTTTATCAACTGTTTCACAGTCGACTCTTCCCTTAAAACTTTTCCCATTTTATTTTTCTGAGAAGTAGAGGCTACTTTATCTATTTCCCAAGAGGCTTTGGGTTCTTTCTGCTTTCTTTTAAACTTGGTTCCTGTCCTGTCCCTCCCTTTTCCTGCTACTGTGGCCAGCAGGCCACCTGGGTCACTTTGTCCTGCTGCTGCTTTAACTTTCTCATTTGTTTTCCTTTTTGACCCTGGCTTCCTTGACTTGGGATGGAAGAGAATAAGTAGTTATTCCCCTTGCAATACAGATGGAGCTGGAAATATCCATGTCTAAGAGAAAGCGGGGTAGGGAGAGCATGAAAAGCAGAGAGCAGAGAACTGCAGGCAGTAGAACTGAGAAACAGGCACTGAACAAGGAGGAAGAGACCCAGGCCCAGAGGCAGAGGTGAAAGACAGGCCTTTCCCTCTCTTAATTAAGCAGGGTAGTCAGCCTCGGAGGGAGCAGAACAGGAGGAAAGGTATCCTACCCTCTAGACTTTCTGATACACAGAAAGTACACCAGGGCTGCTATCAGAGCCACCCCAGCCAGTACTCCAATCACGATGCCGGCAATGGCCCCTGGTGGGAGGCCAGGGTTTTCTGAAGCTGGTCATGAGGGGAAGAAAATGAAAGAAAGTAAAATTAGTTAAGGGAAGTGAAGGAAAGAAAATAAATTCATTTACAGTGAGGTTACCCTAGGAAACATTCCTCAACACGAACTAGTCTCTACTAATGCCAACAAGGTACAGGTTTGCATAGAAAAGTCACTGTGATGCTACTGGTAGTCTGGAGCCTTGTAACTGTCTCTGTTACTGTATAAAGACATCATGATTGGACGGGAAGAAGGCCAGCTCAGGACAGGAAGACCCCTGATGACACAGTGACATAGTGTGGCACTGGGGTCAGATGTGTTGGAGATGCTAAGGTTGGCTCTAGCATAGGGAAAGGTTCAGAGCTACTGTTCACTGTGTAACGATGAGGTTTAGTCAACTGTTGTTGTTGTGTGCTGTCAAATCGTTTGCGACTCATAGCGACCCTATGTACAACAGCCCTAAACCCTGCTCTATTCTGTGCCAATCGCATTGCCTCTGACACACCCATCCCGATTACCCCAGTCACTGAATCAATCCACCTCATAGAGGGTCTTCCCCTCCTGCTAGATAGCACATAACAACAACAGCAACAACAACAGTGTTTCATGTTTCTAGGTTGATGATCAATCTTGTCTCAATTTCATCTGGGCCTTTCTGCATTCAGATGTTTTTGAGGCTTTGGAAATGTGATAAAGGTTGACTGATATTTGGAAATGTGCAAAAGGCTCTTTGTTATATGGAAATGCAAGAAAAGCTGACTGCTATTTCTGTTACTAGAATGGCCCCTTTTCCTGGTTACACTCCCACCACCCTGCCATAGTTTTTCAAGTATGGGAGGCTGACTATGTACCTCTCAGATCTCCTGTGGTAGGGACTCAAATGACTGAAACTCAGCCTGATGCACTCTGTGTTTACCATCATGTTTACCCAGAGACCACACCTGCCACAGGCTCCCGGAAGGAATACAACGGGAGTTCTGTGTCCAGGATGCAAAGCTCTTTTGATAGATGGCTGATTCCCCATTGTCGGTGGAGAGGCTTTTAGAACTACACGGACCTAAAACTTCCTCCTTCATAAGGATCAGATGTGCATCAAGATCTGGGAGTCTCTCAGGCTCACCCCTCCCATTTCCCTAATAAAGATATGTTTAATGGCATCCTCACTGCTTCTTGGATTGAAAGCTATTGTTGTTATGTGCCATCAAGTTGCCTCCAACTCATAATGACCCTATGTACAATGGCTCTGAAGCCTGCCCTGTCCTGAGCCAGTCTCAATGCCTCAAAAGCTCACAGACTTAAATTTTGCACTTATCTGTTTCTAATTCTTTTTTAGTGTTTATACTTTTTATCTTAGAGTGTTTTCCTTCAGTTAAATTTCTAACACTGATATTAAATGTGTTGATATGTTAATCCATCTACAAGAGGTATTGTTCAAACCACTAGTATTTGTATAGATCTTAACCTAGGTTTTGCATAAAGTAATTTTAAATTAATGAGGTTTTTTTGCACTTTAAAAGAATCAGTATAGAATAAAGTATACGGCACAGAAGAGGGGGGCATTCAATTAGCAATTTGAAACACTTTATTCAAGAAGGCCTTTTTATGATTTTCTTTTTATCCAGCAGATACTTTCAAAAGCAAATGTGATCTCCATGGATTTTCTCAGGTTTTTAGGAGTTATCACTAATGGCCCAAATAGTCAGGTGCTGGGCTACCAATCTGAAGACTGACTGCTTTGGAAGAAAGATGGGACACTCTAGTTTAGAAAGTCTGAACTTAACTCCTTTTTATTCTCTCCCTACTTAATGCCAGTGGGTTCCTGCATAATGTAGTTCTTTTGCATATGTTTCTACTTTTTAAATTTTGTCGCAATCATTTGAGGCTTAGCCTTCACCAGCTAACCCTAGACTCATTGAGTTTTTTTTTAATTATTATGATACTAGTTTATGTACAAAATTCGAATACATTGTTTTCCAGAACAGATTCTTCCATTTTCCCTCACTCCCTCATCAAATTGTATAAGCTCATGGTTAATCCCCCCTCCTCCTTCACATCCTCATCCCTCTATTTCCACTCTCCTCCCTCTTGGATCCTTATATTCATTCTACGAGAATGGTTTTATACAATATTTGTCCTTGTGGAACTGAGTTAGTTCACTCGGCATAATGCTTTCCAGTCCCTCCCAAGCTAGGTAATAATTTATAAAACCATTACTTGATACTTTGTGTGGCATGGCCTGTGAGATTTTATATATGTATATGTATATATATGTATATATATGTATGTATATGTATATGTATGTATGTATATATGTATATGTATATATGCATATATATAGGTGTATATATGTATATATAGGTATATATGTAATGTTGTTGTTTGCTGTTGAGTTGGAAACCTCCAGTGGGTTTTCAGAGGCAGTGAACCATGGGGGAGTAGACTGCCCATCTTTCTCCAGTGGGGCAGCTGGTGGATTCGAACTGCATGACTCTGTGCATACAAATGAGAAGCTTGGGAGTTCTGGTGGTCTAGTGGTAAAAAGCTGGGCTGCAGTCCAGAAAGCATGCAGTTCGAATCTACCAGCTGCTCCACAGGAGGATGGACAACTTACTGCTTCTAAAAACCCACCAGAGGGTCAACTATGGGTCAGTGCAGACTTGACGGCACATAACAACATCTGTATTCACACACATGATTCATATGGAAGATTTTATATTTGTGTGACATTTTGTGTGTGTATAAAAAAATGTGTGTAGCATTTTGCCACTATCTCTACTGATCAACTAAACCCATTATCTCTGGCAGGTTTAGTTGGTTATAACAGTGAATCTTTAAAACATTCTTATGAAGCTGGTACTTATATTACCATTTTCAGTTGAGGAAGAGGCTCAGAGAAATAAAAAGTTCTGTGTAAGCACAGCAGATATCAGATCTACTGTGTAAAACGTTTATATACCTTTGTTTCGGAACCTGAGCCCTTGACTATTTTATATTGTACTGTAATTGTCTCTTAACTGTTACTCTGCCCATATGACACATAACCATGTCCTACACCATTGCTAGTCTATCGAGAGAAGGTTTAAGAGGGGGTGGAAGGGTCACTCACACTTGTTCACAGTCAGTGTGATGGGGTCACTTCTCCGGCTACTGGCATTGTTGAAGACCTCACACTGATAGTTCCCGGTGTCCTCCGTCTTGACGGGGTTTATGGTGAGGACGCTCTTGTTCTGGGACAGCATCATCCTATCCGAGTACTGCAGTCTCTGGCCGTTGAAGACCCACTCGATGGAGATGTTAGTGTGTTCTGTGAGGCAGGTCAAGACCACAGGCCCCTCATTTGCTGTGATAGTGGTATTGCTGATGCGGATGGAGGGCGCTGTCAGTGACTCTGTGGAGAAACAGGGTGGCTGTGAGAGGAGTCCGAGACTGTGGATAACAATTTTCCTAGGAGATGAAAGCTTAAGGCCCCATAGTGAGTTGTGTAACGTTGGCCCAGAAGGGTGAACCTGACCTGCTGTGGAGATGGTTCGTTGAGGTACTAATCTGTGAGAAGGAATAAATGCACACCCCCAGGACTCTCTGGAGGGTCAACACCGAGACCTCTTCCCAGCCCATGTGCCCATCAACCTTATTATCATGTGGCATTATCTCCTCTAGATATCTGTGTGACCCTTTCTTAAGGTCTCTTGAAATTTAACAAGGTATTAGACCCTTGTCTAACAGATGATTCTGTGTATGCAGGGAAGGCAGAGTGCCTGCCTTGGTCATCTCTTGATCAGGGAAGTGTTAAATATGTTACATATTTACATGTTACATCTTACATATTTACATAGATAACATGTTACATATTTCATCACTACGATGTGGTGAAATAATATGTTGGGGAATAACACATCCTGGCCTTATCTTTTCTAGATGAGAATGAGAAAGTTTCCAATCTACAGGATTTCTCAGTCTGAGAGAGCTTTTACTTCCAGTCTGTGGATTAACTCTCAGGTGACGGAAACCTCAGAGAGAAGTGGTCATGGTTTCCACAATTGTTCCTCGTCACCCTCTCTGTAAACTACAGTAATACCTGCGAAAGCCAGAACCAGATAGGACTTGGTTTTCAGGATCTCACACGTTTCCTCTGACTGGCACCACTTTACCACATTTCTGTCCTTCTTTATTGGTGGAAAGTATCTGAATTTTCTTCTCTGATAAGTTTCCACTTTATGTAGTGCTGTTAAGAGTTTTACTGAATGTAATTTTGGCTCTACTCCTACATTCCCACGAAGAGACCTCATGGGTGAATCTACCTAGTATTCCAAATACGACTTATAATGTGGTGTTTTCTGTATCATCTGTACTAGTGTCACATAGAATAACAGCTGTGACTTCAGAGCGAGGACACAGGCTTGAATGTCTTTGCCCAGGAACTTGCACACTGTCCGTTTCTCTGCAGCCTCCTCTGGTGGGGCCTGATGTTGAATTAATCTTCTTAGCAAGATTAAGGCATGTACACCACATTCCCATCTGACTACTGATGGTGTCACAACAAGCCTGTACCTGGGAGGTGGGGAATAGAGCAAGGAGGCAGAGCCCCGTCGACCCACCACCCCTCTGTAAATAATTTCATCCTCTTACTTGGGAAAACATGTGAGCATGTTTGAAGACGTGCATGTTTCTGGAGCACATGGAGTCATAGAAATAAACAGAGACTATAAAAAGCAACAAATGAATGAAAGAACACTTGGCTTTGAGGACCCTTCTTCCTTCCCCCGTTATAAAGCCTTCTCCTATTCCATGGGGCACTTTGGGGATGAGAGAAGCCCTTTCCCCACATTCCAACCTGGCCACAAGGACTGCCATGGAAATAACAGAGAAATAAGAACAGGATGATGAAATGTTTCTCAGGGATATAGTAGTAGTAGGACTCGGGGACAGAATGTGTGGGCTTTGCGTATACTTAAGAGACATAGAGTAGAAAATAAATTCTTTCAGGAATTTATTTTCTTTCCCAGATAACAAGGCGAGACTCAATCCCAGAGCTAAGTGCTGAGATTCTATGGAAGCACTTACCAGAGACTATGATAAGCACGGAGACGGTCCTGGTGAGGTTGGTGGCATTGTTATAGGCCTGGCAGGTATAGTTTCCACTATCAGTCATATTGATGTTGGGGATAGTAAGGTTTTGTGTGTCTTGCTCATTGTTCCCATTGATAAGCCAAGAGTACTGTGCAGGTGGGTTAGAGGCTGCTTGGCAGGTGAGGTTGAGAGTTGCCCCTTCAGGGTAATCTGAGCCTGAGGGGGATATGGTGGGGGTGTCCGGGCCATCTGGAGTAAACAGAATAAAGCCATGTTGTGACGTATCCAGAGGGAAGGGAAGCTCCTGGTCTGATAAAGGCCACCACATCCCTCTGGGTCTTGTTTTTAAACATCCCACACAATAAACTCCTTGAATTCACTGATCCTGCTTCTGAGAACACCAACCAGATAGTGACTCTGAGCAGTTCAATGCAAGACAGACCCTCCCCCCTTCTTCTGACGGGCTGGGTCTGTCCACATTTCTCTGGGAGACTACATCATCACCAGCCTAGGTGTCTAAGGGGCTGAGGGTCCTCTTGGACCTAAGAGGATTGCTGTGGCTGGGAGTCTGGACATGGTTTAGCAGCCTGTGCCAGTTGGGAACAGAAGTTACTCACAGAGAACATCCAGGTGGAGTGGGTCACTATCAGCAACACTCACTGGATTCCAGGCTCTACACTGATATTGTCCAGTGTCATTCCTTGTGACGTTGTGTATAGTGAGAGTCCTGTTGTTCTGGGACAACTCCAGCCTGCCATGGTCTGGAAGTCTCTCAGAGTTTTTCAGCCACAGGAAAGATACATTCTGAGCCTGAAGCTCAAGTTCACACATTAATGTTACACTGTCCATGTCCTCCTTGGGATTGGAGTTGTTGGTGATAATGTTAGGTTTGGATAAATTCACTGGAAGATAACAGAAAGAATATTTAAGTTTGGTACCTTTGATTCCTGCAAAGGCATCTTTCAACTTGTGTTGGAATTCTATAACTCTTAGTCAACGTGATGTTTTAAAAACCTAACTGGGCCTTTGTATTATAAAAGAAATATCTGGCAATTTGAGTGCTCAAGGAATGTTAAGGCCTGCTTGTCTTATTCTATCTTTGGGAAAAAGCAGAGATGTTTTCTAATGTTAGTTAAGCAGTGTGTGCCCATGGAAGGTCACAGGACTGGGCTCTGCGATCACCCGGCACCTCTCCTGGGCTCTTCCCTGAGCAGCTGACTGCACCACTGACCTGTTTCCTTACCTAGATCTTGTGCTTGCTGAGGTCCGTCCAGCTACTCTATTCTATACTGCCCGGCCCTGTTGTGTTTCTTCTGAAACATAACTTCTTGTTCAACAATATTCTAGACACCAGTGATGATGAGACTTCTCATTGTCCATAAATCTGAACATGAGAGGCACTTTGAGCTGGAGACTGGGTGCCATGAGGAGCAATTACATCTAGGAGACCAAGATGAGGTTCGATGGTCAGGCCACACGGCCACAAGATGTAGAGAGTTCTTCCCAGTGTGTGATGACCCTGGCTCCAGAAAGCGCAGAACCAATTCATGGAATGATGCAATAGGTAGGAACTGGCTGGATTTGGAAGTAGAATTTTGCACTCTGCCTTTCATTTTTAGTATCTCTTCTCCTATGTCTGAGGGCAGGTGAGCATCTGTATAATTTGCATAAATTTAATTAACTATTTCAATTTATTTTACATTAGGAAATTATTATAAATGACTCTAAGATCTAAGAACAATTGCTGAAGAAGAAATATAGCTCTGGAGAACACTGGAAGACCTTAGGACCACCACCTCTGTATCCCAGAAAGAATTCTAGTATGCTCAAAGGGAGCTGCCAAAGTCTCTTTGAAATTAGGGACGCCGTGGGTGGGGAGGAACAGGTGATCTTGCTAAGGGCACACTCTTGATCAGAGAGGAATTCTGAGGTTTCTCAGTATGAAAGGAAGAGAGACATCAATTTAGTAGAAATTTTGTATTAAGTTAGTCAACTTAGAAAAGAGATTCTAGCCATTAATTCCTCCTGGAGAGGCAGGAAAAACGGAGGAGTCTCAACAGAGGCAACCAGAAAGTGTTCTATTTTTCAGACCTCATGAATGACAGCATCCACACAACTTGACAAAAAGAATTAGCGTTTGATCAAATTGGTCAAAAGAACTAGCTGACCTGCCCAATCTCAGTTTCCACACTTGGACCCTATACTTGGAGAGGTCCTTCAAGTTGCACATTCTATGTTGTCTAACATTCTATGTTATATTTTCTATGAGACCTCTCCTTTTCAGGGTATCACAGAGGTAGTCAAAGATGGGGCTTTTCCTTGTCTTTAAACCTAAGGGGATAGGGCAGCCTTGCCTGGGGACTGGGTGTCATGAGCAGAATTAACACTGGGGGAGGACAAGACAAAACCAGTGGTCAAGCACAGTGACAGTAACTGAATGACAGTGGCTTCCTGCATCTTCTGTCAGAGAGGACTCTGCCTATAGTTGTGTTGCAATGTTTGAAGGAGGAACACAAGCACCTGGGGACTAACTGGAAACCCAGGTGACAGCACAAGGCCTGGAAGCTTCACAGAAATAGGTCTCAGACCCACTTGGGCTTGAGCCTCACACCAAGCACAAACACACGGTCATGTGTTACATGGGTAAAATGGACCTCTGTGCTTGGTGGACACCTAAACCCTCTGCCTGTGACTTTCTGGTTGGATCAATGTAGAGTAAATAAAAGAGGTGCATGTCCATCCTGTGTGCTGGCATCCCTAAGGGGAAGGAGCCGAGATGGCAACACAGTGGAGGCTGCTTCTCCTGGTTACTCGGGTCTTTGGTTAGTAGTGGAGCCCTCCCAGGGGCAACCCTTAGACTGATCTCTTTGCCCTTCGTTGTTTCCTGGGAAGGATGGGCTGGCTGTGAGAAAGGTAAGGGATGGAGAAGCTCAGGAAAGCAGAGCATTGGTACCTGGTGTGGAGGAGGAAGAAAAGCATGGAAGGTGCAGACAGAGCCAGAAATGCCCATGGCAGTGACTGTGGAGGTTACCAATGACTTTATGGACTCTGCACTCCAAGAGTTCCCATGCAACCCAGAAATAGGAGCAGTACGACCTGAAACCCTCCCTACTGAGCACACCAGTCATCATAAGACCTGACTCTGGCTCTGAGGCAGCGCTAGGAATAGGCCACCAGGGGGAAGGAACATAGTTCTCAGCCACCTAGAAGGCCAGGGGGCCAAGCAGCCGAGTGACCGAAGGATCAGCATCCAGGGTTTTTAATGGATAATTTACTCATATGCATATCCTCCTTCCTTCCTTTATCACAGAGCAGCTGAGAGCTTGTTACATGTTGAATCTGTTCTAGCTGCAGGGTGTGCAGTGTGGAGTGAAACAGCAGCACATTAATAATTTCACTCCTTTGGAGGGAGTGTGTTGATTGGCTGTCTGGGACTAGCAGCCTGGACATGCCTGGCATGGACTGTTTTGTAACAGAAGTAATTTCATTACAGAATAAAATAAAATTATTCATTTGTTCTCCCTCGGCCCCTACTTCTCAAGTAAAACCCTCTCCCTTTGAACTAGGAATGACTAAGAAGGGAGGGTCTGAACCAGCAGCTGTTTTCAGGGTCTACGCCCCCAACAAGGCCCCCCGCGGTGTAGGAAAGCTCAGGCTGGGCTACGGGCAGACCTTGAGGGAAAGCTCCTCTGCCAGTCACAGTCTGTGTGACCCTCCTTAGTGACTCTCTCCATGCCTCGCTTTCTCCTCAGTAAAATCAGAGAAAATGAGAAATGAACTGGCTTGCAAAGTCATCTGTGAATTAACCTTAAAATCGTCACAATTATCTGACTGGTACAAAGGATCTGCCCACATAACCAAACAAATGGCACCTGTTATTGTTTGCCTCAACAAGAGGGTTCCCACAGGTGGAAAAGGAACTGACTGTGGCATATCCTCCCTCTTTCTTTCCTCCTGGAGATGCTGACTGAACTCTCAGGTCTTCTAAAGTCGCCTGTCCTGTTGGCCAAGGGCACTTTTCCATCAGTGGTCTCTAAAGTGAATCTCAAGTGAAAGACTCTGCTTATAATAGTTTTGGGGGCTGATCTTGGCTGCTGATCAACTCCAGGAGTTCCAGGACTTAATCAGCCAGTAACTCCTTGCTCTCATTCAGCCCTGGTCAGGATGCCAACATCCATTCTAGCTACTGGCTCCCAAGGTCACTGGGAATTAGGATCCTTGGGGCATGGTCTGAGGGACTTGCTGGATTTGAGCTTCTCTGTCGGGATCCCAGGTCCCCTTCCAGCTAGGACTTGACCAAATCCTTGAGACTTGGGACCCACAGGGATGGACAGAGTGATCTCTTGCTGAGGCCAGGGGGTCAGGCTCACTTCTCTGCAGCCAATGTCTGCATGGCCTGGGTTCAGTATGGAAATTCTGATTTAAATGGTCAAACTCCAAGAATTGAATGCAGAAGGGGGTACAAGGTACAGCAAAGGGTTCAGGCCTGTCATTCCTTATGTTAGAACTGACTACCACCCCCAGAAGTCATAGAGAAATTACTCACGGTAGACAAAGATGTGTCCAGTAGATATATTAGAGTTTGCATCCACGTCTGCTACCTCGAGTGTGTAGGGTCCTGCGTCCCCCAGGGTGACATTCCGGAGCAACAGGGATGCGTTAGAGTAGATTGTCTCTCTACCACTGTTGGCATCTCCTGGTTTAGTTGTTTGAGACGATACTACATAAATGCCTATTCTATTACTATATTCTGTACTGCCAGATCTGTACCAATAGTAGAATACAGGACTTTCTGGCAGGTTGTGGACCAGTAGAAGAACATCCTCTCCTTGGACAGCATGGGTTGGCACTGATTCAATGGTCAGTTGGGCTGTGATGACTGGGCTCCTGAAGATGAAAAATGACACTAGGAGGGAAAAGAGAGAAAAGAATCAGCATTTGAACAATTGGACTGGGATGAGACGGCGCTCTGGTGGCTGAGTGGTAAGGAATTGGGCTGCTAAGGCAAAGGCATGAAGTTCAAATCCACCTGCTGCTGCCCCATGGGAGGAAGATGAGCAGTGTCCTCTGTTGTTGTTGTTATGTGCCGTCGAGTCGCTTGCGACTCATAGCGACCCTATGTACAACAGCCCTAAACTCTGCTCTGTCCTGTGCCAATTGCACCGTCTCTGACACTCCCATCTGATTACCCCAGTCACTGAATCAATCCACCTCATAGAAGGCCTTCCCCTACTGTGCTGTCCCTCCACCTTCCCAAGCATGATGTTCTTCTCCAGGGACCAGTCTCTCCTCACAACATGTCCAGAGTATGTTAGATGGAGCCTCAGAATCCTTGCCTCCAAGGAGCCACCCAGTTTAACCCTGTCCACGATGAATCTGTTTGTTTTCCTAGCAGTCCATGGTATTCTCAATACTCTTCTCCAGCACCACAGCTCAAAGGCATCAATTCTTCTTCTATCCTCCTTGGTCATTATCCAACTCTCTGACGCATGACAAGTGCTTGCAAAGACCATGGCCTGTATCAGACATCCTCTAGTTTGATGTAAAACCTGCCGGATGGCTTGCTATGGATTGGTTCCGATTTGATGACACACAACAGCGACTACACAGGGATGGGAGGGTGGGGCAGCGAGGCTGAGCAAGTTTCTTTCAGTCCTTTCACCTGGTGTATGTGTGTTTCCCAAGGTCAAGGGTAGTTCCTTCAGTATATTTGAACTTGTTAATTCCTCTTTTTTTACTATCCCCCCCCCTCAAGCGTCTGCACATGCTCACTCCTGCCCTCAGGTATCTGCTCACACGCAGTGGTTCCTGTGGAACCTTCCCTCCCTGACTTCTCATCTCCGGACCCTCTGGCTGTCTTTTCACACCTGGCCCTGTTCTGGGTCTTCTTTCACTTATTTTCACTGGAGTCAGAACTGACACACAGCTGACCCTCCAGCAGGTTTTCAGAGGCCACACATTACACAGGAGGAGAAGGCTCAGCTTTCCACCTGGGAGCAGCTGGTGGATTCAAACCACCTGCCTCTGAGCCGGCAGCACCACTCCTTATTCACCAGACTCCTTTATGTTCTCACAGCACTTAATAATACCTGCCACCATACCCAGATTTGATTGATTGTGGTGTCTTTCTACCCTGGACAAGAGCACCGCGAGGGTAGGGGCTCTCCTTGTCCTATGCCGTACCTCCTTTGCCTAGACAAACTTGAAAATATTAAGGAATGAATCACTAAACATTCCCAAGGCTCATCCAAGGGCTCATGCTTATTTGCCCATTCCTGGGAACGATAGGCCAAACCCAAAGTTTAATGCATTTTGTTAAGACTTTCCCCTAATGCTACATTGCCAAATTCTTGTTACTGCTGTCAGCCCTGTTGACTGTCACCCTTTAATGTTTGTTTAGGGCATCATTATTATGGGAAATGAGCAGCAATAGAGGTTTTACTTCTTACCCATTCCAGTTCAATAATTTCCTGTGGGGACACCCACCTCCCTCATAGGTGTTCTCTCCACTGCAGCCACACACGGCCCTTCCTTTCACCTTCCAGGTGAGTGTCCTCCTCAGGAGACCCCAGGTTGTCTCAGTTCTCCCAACCTCCCCCACCCCAAGAGGCATCCCTTCTCACCTGCGAGCAGGACCCCTTGCCAGGGGATGCACCTTTTGTGAGGAGCAGCTGAATGGGGCTCCATGGGGCTCTGTTGCCCACTCTCTGCTCTACCTGTGGGAAGAACTCCGGCTCCAGAAACGCTCACAAGCTCTGTGTCCCCACAAGTGTCTGCTCTGCTGTCCTTCTACCCTCTGTATAGTCTCTTCCTGGGGCGGGAGCTTCCCCAGATCATGTGGGCTGGGGGCGGGGTCTCCCTAGGAAGTCTTTCTCCACCCCTCCCCGTTCTTTCCTGCCCCTGAATTATCTTCTCTCACTTTCTGTCTACATTTAGGTTCCTAGGAATTGCGGCTGGCTCTGTACTCTCAGCTCAATCCTCCCCCACCCACCCTGACTGTGTGTGCACTTAATGCTTGGGGCCAGACTCCAGGGCTTGGGATTTCCCAGAATTCCAGGTCAGTGTGCTGGTCAGTTCTCCCTGCTGTTTTCTTTTAACGTCTTTTGACTTTTTCCTTCAGAGCAGAAGCTCAGGGGCTAAGTGAGGCTCTCTCCTCATGAGATTTCATCTGACTGTGCATCAGAATCTCCTGTGGGACTTTATCAAGTCACCTGGTGTCCAGGTGATGTCTCAGAAATGTCTCAAATGCTGCTTCGGCAGTTGCACAAGTAATATTGATGTCCTGCAGGGGGCTGAGACCAGTGATTTGAGGGGGGCAGTTAGCTATTCCCCCTTTTTTGTGCACAGGGATAGTAAGAAGATTTTGTGAACTACAGATTCAGACAATGTGAATGTGAGACAGATCTGAGAGTGAATCTAACTCTCACCTCAGTTTCTTAGGTGATGTCGATTATATTGACCTGTAGTCCACACTGTCAGGCTGTAAGGCTGTTGGGGACCTTTACAAGCCCCCCCACCGAAGATGAGGTCATCACTTAAGTGTTGGCCTCAGGAGTGTTGGCACCAGACAAAGAGCCTTTGGGGTCCTCTAACCCAGGAGTGACTTCCCTCTGAGACAGAAACCCACTGGGCACCCAGTATACTCAATTGCACTAGGAAGATTAAACAGAAGGACACAGAGATGACCAAATGGGTCACTGGGTAGTAATGATTGAGTGGGACCAGTTTCTATTGTTGGTGTCACCAGCAAGGCCTCTGCTTCCAGGGACAGAGACATAAGATCTGGGTGTCCAGGAGGGAGTTTTAGCTCCTGTAGGGTTAAAGGGGTCTTCCTAAAGTGTATTAGAAGACAGGACTGGTGAGTTGAATGTTGAGGGCTGTGGATTCCACGTCTTCAGGACAATGTTTCAGGAAGATTCTCTATGTCTGTTTTTAGTGTTGGCTCAGACTCTTACCTGAAAGGCCTCTGTCCTCTGCCCAGCCAACCAACTTTTCTTTGTCACTTCACTTTCCCTGTGAGTAGACCCAAGCAGGGAGGAGGGAACTGGTGAGGACCCCCCCAAAGCACAGGGACCTAGAACCCTGGAAAGGAGAGGCAGGACAGACTTGACACGTAGGAGAGCTCAGAGGTCGAACAGAACAATGCATGGAAATCAGGCTCACTGGCATCTCTTGAGGGAGCTCTGGTGGGCTAGTTGCCAAAGCTGAGTGGTTCAACTCTACCAGCTGCTCTGCAAGAGAAAGATGGGTAATCTCCCATGTGATTTCCATCCTCTGAAAACCTGCTTGAGGGTCAGCTATGGGTTGGATCTGCAATAGCAAGGTACAAAAATAACACACCTTCTTAACTGAAGACCAGGTTCTTGCCTCAGGGTGTGTGTGTGTGTGTGTGTGTGTGTGTGTGTGTGTGTGAGAGAGAGAGAGAGAGAGAGAGAGAGAGAGAAAATAAGAGAGAAAAAGAGAGAGGGCGTGCGTGACATTATTTCTATTTTCTGTACTATGTTGCCACCTAGAGGGCTCAAGGAGACCTGTAACAGGGATGGTGACCAAGCTGTAGAGGCTGTGCCTAGCCCTGGCTTTGACAGGCTACCTCCAGAATGAAGCCCAGCCCCAGGTCCTGTTCACTGTCCCCGGTCCCCAGGCTGCCCTGACTCCATTCAAATATAAGATGAGCTTGGAAAGGATGTGAGTTGTCCAGTGTCTGGAGGACTGTTCTGCAAGGCAGATGTGCTGCCCAGGAGGGACTTTGTGTTTCCAAGGTTTAATTAAGAGTGTTCTGGTGAGGGGTTCACTTGACTAGAAATCTTGAGAGACTTCTCCCACTCAGGATTCAAGTATTCCATGAGGTTCCTAGTAAAGTGAGTGATTAGGCTTCAAGTGTCATAAAGTCTTTGAGTTGGAAACAAAGGCAGATCCTATGCCATCCAGTCCCCATCTTACATGGAGCACTCTTCACATTTCTCTAGCTTCTTGGGGTTGGTAAGATAGGCTAGGGAACCAGAACTATGTATCCCCAGAGACCAGGGACCCTCGGTGCTGGTGACCCACACTCTGTTTGTAATCAGGGTGGAGCTTAGTATTCCCTGGGAAAAATACTCAGTAGAATTTTAGATTCAGAGTTTTATGAGGAGAGGAAGTACAGAAATGCACAGCCTAGGCCCTACTGGGTGATGTGAGATCCCTCACAATTTAGAGATAGGGGTCTTTGTGTCAGTCTGGGAACTCGTTGAATCTGACCTCTCACTGTTAGGAGACCCACATCCACCTTCCTGATACGAGGAGAGGTGAAGGCCCTATGGCTCTGGGACAGCAGCAGGCATTTGCTGGCTTCCTCTTGTGTGGATTCTAGGGCTTTTGTGTATAGAGAGGGGAGTTCTGGTGCGTAGGTGACCAGGAATTGTGTTGCCAACCCAAAGGCAACCTCTCTGGTAGATTGAATCCAACAGTGGCTCTGAAAGGGAAATACTCAGTCTCTTTCTGTGTGATTTACAGCCTCAGAAATCCAGTGGAGGTCAGCTATGCGTTGATTTTGACTGGATAGCAAAGATTTGAGTCAAACTGTGTCTGTAGGGAATGTGCTCTATCAAGAGTCATATGTTGGGCTAGAATGAGCACTCTCCATTTCTTGTGGAGAGACAGGCTGAGGTGTCCCTGGGGTTATAGGTTCCTCTATATGGGATCCTTGCCTCCACAGCTGCAGGGCCATCACAGGGGCCAAGCAGGACAAAGAGACTTTAGTATACAGAACTTCAAGCAGCAGAAAGAATTTTTGTAGCTCTTTGGGAAAGAGAGGGCTGACTTGAGACCCCCCCTGCATGCAAGCTGCTAGAGGTGGCAGCCCTGATCTCTAATCTTGTGCCACTCCAGAGACTTCCATTGAAGACATTAAGCTCCAGAAGAAAAGGTGTATGAGAAACTGCTTGAGTAGAGCACTGGTCTCATACCACTCAGCTACTTTATACATGAAGGAGGCCTATAGCGTAGGTGTCAGGGGATTACATCAAGGCGAGATTTCCTACAAGGCTGCCGTGCAGCACAGAGAGAGCCTCAGGGACTTTAGGAAAGGCAAATTTTCCCCAGAAAGGACTTAACAATAGTAGAGTGAGTAGATTACCGCATAGACTGAACATTTTTTTTATTATGAAAGTAATGCACATTCTTTTTTTAAAATTATTAAACTTTATTAATTTTAATGAACATTTATAGAGATTTTGGGTTTTCATTCATTCATTGTTGCACTATAGACTGAACATTTTAACTTGGCAACTAATTAGTTATAAAAAACATTATAAAGGCAAGTACCACCACCAACTTTTGCAGACAAAATAGAAAAGACCCAACATTTATCAAGAAAAACTTCACATAATGTCAAGCATCAAACACTGTGAAAAAACAAATTAAACCTTCTCCAAAAAAAGCAGAGACTATTAGAGACCTCATGAATATCCCAGAGCAATTACATTGTTATGGAGACATTAGAACAGCTACAAATACTGAGAGAAGTGGAAGGTCAGAGAAGAAAAGAAGATCCTCAACATGCTGGATTGATACGGTGACTGTAGCAGTGGGCCCAAACGTGTCTCGGATTGTGGGATGACATAGGATAGGGGCAGGGTTAGATTTGTTGTTCATAGAACTGCTGTGAGTCATAGAGAGAGCTCTGTTGGCCTAGTGGATAGAAAGTTATGCTACCAAGCCAAATGTGGGTGATGTTAATCTGTGTCGCTCAGGCCTGGTTTTAATTGTTTTGGTCAAACATTTTTCTAAGTGGTATAGCACTGGTCTGTCAATTTGCTGTACAGAGGTAACTCCTGGTTGCTGTAATGCTAAACACTGTGACACCAATGTGTCAAATGCAATAATGATTATCCATGGTGAACAGTGTTTGGGGAGCTTTTAGATTAAAGCAGGCTTGGAAGCAGAGTGGCAACCACTTCTGAGATAGCTTGCCTCTGGAAACTCTATGCACTTAGAGAAATGATGAAAGTTATACAAGTGTTCAGGCCTTTTGTTCATAGGGTCACTATGAATTGTCTATGACTTGATGGCACTTAACAACAACTGAAAATACAAATGATGCATAAAACAATAGAAATCATAAATAAAGGAATAATCAAGAGGTTGTTGTTGTTGTTAATTGCCGTTGAGTCACAAGTGACTCATAGCGACCCTATGAAGGAGAGTCCTCGATGCTTGGATGTCTTTCATCCTCTCTCCAGGTTCATGGGGTTTCTGGAGGCAAGCTATTATGGAAGTGGATGCCACTCCTCCTTACAAGCTTGTTTTAATTGGGAAGCTCCACCCTACCCTCTGTCTGCATTGGGTAGCCAACCATTAACGCATTTGACACATCGGTGTCATAGTGTTCAGCCTCACAGCAACCACAAGTGACCGCTGTATGGCTACTTGTACACCAGGGCTATATTACCTAGAGGAATGTCTGAACAAAAACAATAACCAAGAGGTAGAGAACAACAACAACAACAAATTGATGAGGTGTTATTTGAGCAGCTATGGAAGAAGTTGCAAATGATGGAAGAAACAATGGAAACCACTAAGAAAGCAAACACTGCAGAGACATGAAGCCAGAAGAAATATACTGATGAGGAAGAACTTGCACAAATATGGAAGAAAATTTAAAAAATAGAAGAATCCAAACTATAGATAAATAGGTATAAGAACTTAAA